CGGTGTAAGACATATATGGAGGGTTTTATTGTATAAATTGATATATTTTAAATATGAATTAGTGGTAAGGAAATGATTAGAGGTTTTATCAATGATTCTAGTTGGTGGAGAGATATTCACTACAACAAATAATGCTTTTCATGATGAAACTTTCACCTTGAACAATAGTAAAGTGAGGTATAAAGGCAAGGCTCGCAAACTTGTATCATTTAACAAAAAACATAAATTCCCTCGGCTTTTGGTTTTTCATAAAACCGAGGTGAAAAAACTACTCAGTACAAGTTTCGATTCCCAGCTATCGCTATTTATTATTCTATTTGTTTGTAAGTGTAAACAAAATGTTCTAACCCTTCGGTTTTCTATTTAACCTAAAATAATAAGATTTTACTATAAAAGCATTCGTTAAATAAATTTTACCTTAATCCTTACTAATATGAAGCCACCCTAAAGATCACTCTTTGGGATGGATTGTAGGACAACAAAATCTTCAATTTTCTTCTATATTGATGTTTACTGTGAATTTTGGTAAACAACCGCTGGTCTATCAATTCAGGGTAAAATTGACTAACTTGCAGGATTGACCATACTAAATCCTAGAACATGTGCTAAGTTGTGCAAAGTACCCTACGTTGAACTCCACGTTCGACTGTGAAACCTTTTTAAAAAATAAGATGCTTTGAAGATTTAAAAGAAAGCAAGTAATGTGTCGAAGATTAACAAGCGAAATATAAAAATGCAGTAAAGTAAAGGACTTTTTAAAAGTAAATGCTGTAAAGTAGAGGGCTAGAAATTACAATCAAACTCCACGTTCGACTACAATGTCTTTGTAAAGTAAATGACTTTGAAAATATGCGAAAAAGTAAAGAACTTTTGAAAATAAATGTGCGAAAGATTCCACTCTGAACTCCACGTTCGACTAGAGACCTTTGGAAAGTAAATTGCAAGAAGGTAAATGACTTTGAAAAGAAATGGGCGAAAGACTAAATGTGCAGAAAAGTTAAAGAGTGTGAAATAACTCCAATCTGAACTCCACGTTCGACCAGGGGATCTTTTAAAGTAAAACACAGGAAAAGCTTGTAAAATGGTTTAAATGTAAAGATTGAAAGTTAAAGTGCAAGATAGGTAAAGGTGCATAAAGGATAAAAGCAAGTAAAATGCATTAACGAAAAGGGTTTGGTGTTGTATCACATACATTCTCGCTAACTCGTTTCTCTACACGCGGGTACTTTGAGTTGTTTGGAGTGACTAGTATAAAATGAATGAACACCCTTATTACATGAAATTTACATCTACTTATAGTACTATAGAATAACTACTACATGGCGGTTGAGACTTCTTTTTGGCGCTTCTTTGCTATTCCAACCGCTCACACGTTCTCTTTTGCTTGATTTGAATTTTGAATAATTTATAATTCCCTCCAATTTGGCGAAATCGTCTTCATGTTTTCCTTAGCATGGTCTTCGTCGAGCGTTTTCCAACACTTAGCGTTTTTTTTTACACCTTGATCCATCTTTCTTCGACTTGAAGTTTTCCTTAATTGGGTCGAAATCCTCTCACATACCAAGTATTGATAATTTTGACCTAAGCTAGCTCTGGTCTCGACTAGCGTCGAAATTAGGAGCCAACACTTGAACAAAATATTTTTCTTCCCTTGCTATCCATCCCAGCATAATGATGTTGATGTTGTAGTTGTTGTATTTTTTGGAATAACCCCCAGTTAAAGAAGGATACTCAATTGATAGATTGCAAGTGCAGAAAATCATTCTTGCTTCAAGTTAATCAAATAATAGAGCTTAACAAACAATGGAGGGAGTTGAACCTTTGAAAAGTACTCAGTTGATAGATTGCAACTGCAAAAAATATTCCTTCTTCAAGTTAAACAAAGAATGAAGGTTAACCAACAAAGAAGGGAGCAAAACCTTTGAAGAGTACTAAGATGATAGATTGCAAGTGCAAAAAATCATTCTTGTTTTAAATTTTTTTTAATAGGTATGCAACAAAATTTGGATATCACCGAAGATTTGTTGTAAACAATTTTTTTTAATATTCTGTGTAAACAATGTATTTTTAAAAAAATAAAAAAAAGAAATAGTCACCTTGGTTTTCTTTAAAAACAAGGTGATAGTTAATATAAAACCTTGGTTTTGTAGTAAAACCGAGATGATTAGTAATCATATTTTATAATAAAAGTATCTGTTAAACATATTTTACCCTAATACTAAATTATATGTAGCTGCCCCAAAGAGAAAAAATATTCACCACTGTCCATTTCTATCATGTGTTGCTACTACAAGCCTCTGGGATGGATTGCAAGTGCAGAAAATAAAAATTCTCATTGGAAAACAGATCTCTATCATCTTACTTGGGATCTGGACATGTAAAATAAAATTTCTCATTGGGAAATAGATTTTACAATGTAGTTTTAATATTTTGTGTAAACAATGTATTTAAAAAAATGCTTATTCATCTCGAGTTTCTTCTTGGCCGAGAGGATAGTTAAGCGTTTTTTTTAACTAAATTCAACGCTTTTAAACAAATATTTGTCGTCCATTTAATGTTTACAAACGCTCATAAATATATCATTAGTGATCCGTGTGAAACCCAAGGAACATTTGTTATAAAAGCATGCATAATATTGAAAATCTAACTTAAATGAAATATAAAGCCCTTGAAACATAAAGACATTTGAAAAACTTCTCTAAGATGGAATGCAAAAGCAAAAAATTACTTGGGTTTAAGGTTTGTTTTTGTAAATATTTATTTGAGCACAAAATCATATATTTGAATATTCATTTTATTTATCTAACTCTTATTTTGTTTTGCTTCATAATTAAATACATGCAAGATCCGTATAGAATAATCTTGCACCCAACATTTGATCTTCTCCAAGATTCAATAATTCGAAGATCTAAAATTTAGTTCTTCAGGGAATTGATTTTTACCTAGATTTCTAGGGAATTTGATTTTTATTTTAATATTCTGTGTAAACAATGTAATATTCTAGATAAACAATGTAATATTCTGGATAAACAATATAATATTTTTTTTAAAAAGAAATAATCTCACTCCTCGGTTTTCAAGATAAACCGAGATAAAAGATACGTTTATTTTAAAAATAATAAAAGTGTTGCTGATGGGATTCGAACCCATGTGCCTTTAATTTTAATTTTCGATTTTAATACTAACAAAGGTGATAAATGACAAATTTTCATATCGCCTTTCATTACCTCACTTTTATGGTCGAAATATTATACATTTCAGGTCTGAGATAAAAAGTGTTTTTTGTAATAGTGATTTATCAAAGTTAATGAGAATGAAATTAAGAGCAATTGCTTCTTAGTGAAGTTGTTTAAAAGGTGGAGATGACAAAGATTATTACTTCTAGTTAGATTTGAGACTAAAAAGAAGAAAATTGAGTGATAGATTTGGTATGATTTATGGGTAAGTGGTGAACAAATTTACTATTACGACGAATATGTTAAATATGGTATTAATAGTTAATGGAAATTTGTGTAAGTGGAGTTGGAGACCAGTGTTATTTTTGTGGGAAAAGGAGTTGGTGAATTAAGGCACTTTGTTGTTATCTAACATATTTTTGCAAGCTATAATAAGAAATATTCTTGGAATTGTAATTCGTTGATACTTAAATATGACGAGATTATTGTATTTGTATTTAATGTTCTTAACAATAAATAAAAAAGTACAAAATCGGTGATGATTAAATTTCATGATAATTAAATGTAAAAAAATGATATTTCTCTTGCAATGGAGTAGCAGTTAGTGTAAATAAGTATGATATGTACTGTCCAGCTGGAAATAGGTCGGCAAAAGCAAAAGCGGGACACAAAGTGGATAAAACAGAAACCCACTTCAAATGAAATCATAAACATTCATCAATGAATTTGGGTAAAGTAACAATAAATATCATAAATTTTGGATCCCACATATTCAATTTTAATTTCTCCAACAACAACAACAAAATTTAATACATCACGTTTTATAGCATCAAAATTCAAATAGTTTTGGTAGGTTGGTCTCCATTTTCTAATATATTTTGACATTTCTTATACCTAATTTAATTCATAATATATTATTTTTTCTCTCTTCTAACAAAAGTTTAGTTTAAATAAAACTTGCACAAATAGACGGTATCTTTTTTTTTAAATTATTAATTTATAAACATAATAAATTATCTATATTAATATTTAAAAAAATAATTATTTTTTTAAAATTATAATATCCGATCTTACAATCTAATAATTCAAGAGAGCCAATTTATTTAAACGGAGACTTCGTTTAAAATTAAAACAAAACTTTCATACCTCACATCTATTAAAATAAAAATATAAATACTGTTGTAAGAAATCGAACTCTATATCAATAATATCATATACTAATTGAAGTAACTTACTAAAACAATATATGGCTGATTATCTAATTAATCACTTTTAAGATTAAATATAAAAAACAATGAGAATTTGAGAATAAGAATCTTATATAAAAAGCAAATAATTGAATTTTATAGAAAAAGCTATTCTCCATATATATATTTAAAACCCAACACTTGCTCTGAAAAGCAGTAGATTTTTAAGTGCGCATACAGCAAATGACAACTGTACATTAAATCCACCAGCTGTAACCCGCCACGTGTCAAAACCTCATTGGACAAAATCTGCCATCATTCTTTTCAGAACCCACTCCTCTTTAAACAGCTTTCGCCAGCTATCTCTCGCCACACCAACGGCTACATTTTTCATTTGTCCATTTCTTGGGAATTTATAAACTCGACGTGGCACGTGATATGGCACACACACTTTCATTACGTGGAAAAATTTTAAAAATTAAAAAATTAAAAAAATAAAATAAATGAGGTTGGTTATAAATACCATCATGCCCTTGTTGTGAGCCCTCACACAATTTCAGAGTAGAAGCTTCACTTCTCTCGTTCACTCTCTCTTTCTTTGTTCTTCTTCATCAATTTTTTGTCTGTGTTTTTCAACATGACAAAAATGTCTTGTCTCTTGGGACTTTCTCTGTGTTTTTTGTTTGTTGCATTAGTTGCTTCTTCCAAATTTGAGGAGCTTTTTCAACCTGGTTGGGCTATGGACCATTTCGTTCATGAAGGAGATTTACTCAAACTCAAACTCGACAATTATTCCGGTAATTAATTAATTAATTTCACTTTGGGTTATTACATTGTTAATTAATGAAGCCATTCTATTTTAAGTGTTTTTCCTGAAATAGAATGTTTGTTAATTTTAACTGTGTTGTTTAAGGTTAGATCTATGATTGTTAATAGGTGTTTTAATAAAACTATTAAGGTTTACATTATTGTATAAAAAATGTTACTTATGAAGAAAAATATGAAAATATTGCAGGTGCTGGATTTGGATCTAAGAGCAAATATATGTTTGGAAAAGTGACTGTTCACCTTAAGCTTGTGGAAGGTGACTCTGCTGGAACTGTTACTGCCTTCTATGTAAGTAGAAAAAATAATTACATTAATGAATTAGTTAATTTTTTCATATTGAAATGTTCTTATTATGACTAGTTTAACTGTGTTTTTTTTTTATTTAATTTTATTTTAGAGTTTATTAGTGTTATTATTATTACACCAGTAATTATTGATCTATGGCTATGTATTTTTTTCTTTATTACAAACATGTGGTACTTTTACTTTGTTATTATTACTAAAAAACCTAATAATAATTTTATGGAATTTATTCACACTTTATGTCCCTTTATGAATGATTGTGACTCCACCCGTACCATTAAATAATTCATAATAATAATTGTTTGTATCTAACTTTAAATTTTTTATTTATTTTTTTGATGTAGATGTCATCAGAAGGACCAACTCATAATGAATTTGATTTTGAGTTTTTGGGTAACACAACTGGTGAACCTTACTCAGTTCAAACAAATGTGTATGTGAATGGTGTTGGTAATAGAGAACAAAGACTTAACCTATGGTTTGATCCATCTAAGGATTTTCACACCTACTCAATTTTTTGGAACCAACGTCAAGTAATGTAAGCACCAACATAATAATTGTAATTAATTAATCTTATCTAACATTAATCAATATCCTAATGTTTTTTTAATGATTATGTAAAATAGGTTTCTAGTGGATGAGACACCAATTCGAGTACACACAAATTTGGAACACAAAGGAATCCCTTTCCCAAAAGACCAAGCAATGGGTGTTTACAGTTCAATATGGAATGCCGATGATTGGGCCACACAAGGCGGTCGTGTGAAAACCGATTGGTCTCATGCGCCTTTCGTTGCGACTTATAAAGATTTCGAAATCAATGCTTGCGAATGTCCAACTCCGGTTACATCGATCGATAGCGCGAAGAAATGTAGTAGTAGTGAGGATAAGAAGTATTGGTGGGATGAACCTATGTTGTCTGAACTCACCTTGCATCAAAGTCATCAACTTATTTGGGTTAGGGCTAATCATATGGTTTACGATTATTGCGCCGATACCGCTAGGTTCCCCGTCATCCCCGCCGAATGTGTCCGCCACCACCATTAGGGTAGATGTTTTGGTGCATAATGATGTTTTGAAATGAAGTTGACGACAAGAATTAGACATTATGCGATGGATGTTTTAAGTAGTTTATTTGTGAACATGTTGTTCATGTATCGCATCACATTGTAATATATTAATTTGTTTTGCTATGGTTTAATGTGAATTATTTTATTCCCTAGTTTGTTGTGCAAAATCCAATTTTATTCTTGATGTTTAGTTTATTTAATTTTGAAGAATTGTGGATCATACAATAGAATAGTGGTGAGATATTTTTGGAGAATGTGATTATCTTTCTTTAGGGTACGGCAAGGTCACGGGTTAACTTGGTATGGAGAATTTGGATAAAGTTAGAAAATAATTGAGAAGGTGAAGGTGACAATGTGGTCCCAAATATTTAAATTTCGAGGACCTAGATCTATGGGGTAAGGTTTGTTTCCATGTCATGTGAGAATAATTCTTTGATTTGGTCACAATGTCTTTTACCTAGATAAAATTCTAATGCACTTATTATTATTAATAGTAATCAATTATCATAATTTGAGATATATGATAGGCTCATCTTATCTGTATCTTTTTATAGGTTTACATATTTTAAAATAACTATCTTTTGTCTCTTTTTTGGCGGATTTCTGCGAACACTGGTATTAATAATATTTTGTTTGAAATTTTAGTCTTTAAAATGCAAAATTTCACATGTTTGCATCGGCATATTTTTTAAGAGACGAAATAAGATTTTAAATCCAGTGTCACCAAATTGTTTTTCCGCTTTTTTGCTTCATAAATTTAAATTCTAAACATGAGAAGTGATTGTGGTTCGGTTTAGATCGGTTTTGAAATAAAATAATATCTGATTCAAAAATAAATTTATTCGTGATTTGGTTCAGTTTTGAATAATTGATTTAAAAAATTCAATTCAATTCAATTCAATTTCATACGACTAACTTGAATCGGTTTTTTAGATATTTAAATTACAAATTATAGTTTTTATTAATATTTTAAAAATAATAATAAATAATAAATTTGATATAATATATAATATACTACAATTAATATTACTAGATAAAAATAATAAAAATAAATAAAATAAAATAAATCTAATAAATAGTATTTAAAAAAATAAATATTTATCTAATATTAAATTGTTACAACATAAATAAGTATAATATATATATATATATATATATATATATATATATATATATATATATATATATATATATATATATATATATATATATATATATATATATATATATATATATATATATATATATATATATATATATATATATATATTAGGTTAGATCAATTTTGAGATATCAATTCAAAATTCGATTCAAATCGAACGGCTTTTATAAAATAACATTCAAATACATTAAAAAAATCAGTAATTTACAATTTTTAATTTTTTAAAATTAATTTATAATTTTTATTTAAATCGATTTAAATTTGAATACCAATACTAAATATGCATAACCATTTGCCATCTATAATCTTTGATGCTAGTCCAAATAAGCTAAAAGTAGTTAATGACATTAACTAACACGATGTGAACTTTAAAGCTTGTTTTACATTTACACTTTTGTGTTTCACTAAGGACAAATATTGATGATTGTCATGGAGCAAGCTTCAAAAATTTCCCAATGTTGTCCAACTTGAGTCACTTGATATGACATGACAACAACTCAACAATCATGTTGATCCGTGAAACATATGCTTATATATGTCATTATGTATAATAGAAACCAATAATTTTTAATTACACAAATATCAAAATACCATGTAATTAAGGGTCCCAAAGTGTGGGCCAAGGACTACTCTTTTAGTTGGGTGGTTATGGATCATTTTAAATCAGGGCTGACATAAAAAAGGTTGACACAAGTCCCTTTTTTTAGGTCAATGATTTAGTTGAGGGCCCTATATAAATGAATTGATGAGCTGTTCAAAAACTAAACAACAATATGTTTTAATTAAGTTTGTCTCCAATCTTTTTTAGAAGTGTCAATTAGTCAAAAAAATATGAAGCATTTGCACCCAAAGTAGGGTAATGTTGCCATCAATGGCCTTATGCCTTTTATTATTATTATTATTATTTATTTTATTTTATTTTTAATGATTTTCTTAGCGGCAATTTTCAAAATTTTTATAATATGACATGTGTTTCATCTTTGTTTCTCAAGTAAGTTTTTCTAGTATGTTTGATTTCTATTCCTTTATTTATATTTGTGTCGTTAAAATAACTGATTCTATTGTAGTTGAGATTAACGACTTTGCAAGAACCATTATAGTTTTTAAATTCTTGATAAAATCCTTATTTAGAGATTTGAGAAAAGATAATCTCATTCTCTTTTACGAAATTTAATTGTGACTTTGAATTTTATTGCACAAAGTAAATAAAAAATTTGCTGATAGGAATTTGTCGAGTACATTTAGGTTGATGAAAGCATAATGAAGGAGTATTATCTATTTTTAGATAAGGGTTCTATTAAGTTATTTGTTGTGTCGCTTATAATATTTAAAAATGGTTATCATTTATCTGTTCTTCTTCTAGTCCTGTACTGTAAGCATGGTGATTGAGTTTGTTGCATTAAGGACATTCAAGAAGGATTATATTTTTTATATGTCTATTAAACTATTTTAAATTAGATTGAGTTTTGTTTGACTTTTATGAAGTTTAACATGGAGGTGACATTAGACGCCACTCCCTCCAACTATTTCTTAATAGTTGGACATATAATATATGTCTTGAGTTTGTGTGTATGTATCTTATACGACGACTATTTTCTTATGTTTTTAATCCATGAAGGTTAGAGGTAAGGTTGCTTTATGTTTCTTAAATGGGCATTATCCATGGAATTTTTCACCTTTTAATAATTAAGTTTTTCAAAGTGACATGCATTATTGAAGAACTTTACATTTTCCTTTTTATGGGAACCTAAATCAAGTTGGAATTAATGTTGTATATAAGAAGTTACTTCTATAATCTATAATTTATATAATCTATATGTTAATTGGATTATAGTGATATATTGAAGTTTGAGTATGAATCCTTAAATATGAATAAATATTTTTGTAGGTAATTTTTGTTGAGGCAAACCAATCACAATTACAAGATACATTAATGATCAATATGAGCAATGTAGAAAGGGTGAAAGAATTATATAAAGGGTTCTGCTATCTAGTGCCCTTAGGGCACTGTTTAAGGAGAATTAATATAGTTATGGCCCCATCCATGTAACTTTGAAATAAATCATTGTTAAGTTTAATAATTAAAATAATAAAGATTTACACGGCTGTCATATTTAAAGCTACTTATTATTATCATATGTTAAGTCTTGTTAATATGGGAGAGTAGTGTATACCACACATTTCAATTTTAATTAACAATTTATTGTTGTTCATTTCACAATAAAATAAGTGGGATCATAGCTAATTTAATGCACCTTAACCAGTGCCCTCAGGGCACTTGATAGCATTCCCCTTATATAAAATATGATGGAAAACAGTGGCATTTCATTAACAATTTAAAATGGGGTATTTATACATCATTGCAAAAATAGTTTTTATTTTATTTTTTAAAATTAAATTCTCTTTAATATACTTTTAATTAAACATGGAGGAATTAGTGAATGCACATTTATTTGTTGTCAAATAATCAAGGGTTTAGCGCATGCTTTGTCTGAACGGTCATTTCTTCTGCAAACGATTTTTACGATAAATTTAGGATTAAAAGAGAAAATAATGATTGTATATTCGTTTGTTTTTCGAACAATCGAAAGCTTAATGTATGCTTTTCCCGAATCGGCTATCCATTCTCCACATCTAAATATAATATCATCTCATCATATTAATTTTGAGAATTTCTTATTGCATCCCATGTATTTCTTAGACGCCATACAGATTTTCTATAATGCCCATAATTTCTAAAAATATATCTCCGGACGCACCTTTTTTACACTAAAGGAAAGTCATTATGGATGGCGCCCCATGCATTTGGATTTGATTAGTTCCAGAGATATATCTCCAGAACAATATTCTAGTTATATTTTCAGAATAAAACCAGAGACAGAATCAACACAAGATGAACTTTCCAAACATAAAATGAACACTCATAACATAAAATGAGCATTACAATGATAATTTCAACAGAAAATTACATACTACATTTCAATGTTCCGTAGTGTCTCTTCCATCTCAAGCGAAACTATTTCTTTGAAATCCAAAAACGTCTGCCACATCGCCATAACATATGCTCGAGTCTTGAGCTCAAATTTGCTGAACACATTGTTCCCTTCATTGTCAACAGAAGGTGAACGGTACTTGAGCTTCACAATCCTTCGTTTGGCTTCGTAAAGTAGAAGATAATAAATTTCGTCTAGGATATCTTCGAGGGAGGTGAGACCGGTGAGTTTAAACATCCTCCCGGGTGTTTTGTTGTCGAAGTAGGAGACACTTGCGACATACCAACTGATGTTTGTTTCACACATTTGAGACATTTTAAGTTTATGTGAAGTATAACACATGAACACCCAAATTTATAGAAGACCTAGTTCAATATGGACCACTTATTGGCTGTCATTATTATTCCAGATATATATTTATGGAACGACACCATATTATCTTGTTCCGGAGATTCATCTCCGGAGATGAACAATCTTTACCTGAAATTTGATCTTCTTTTGCACCCTGTGATATGTTGAACCAAAAGGATGAAAATTTAGAGTGAAAAATAGGATTGAGAATGTAGGGTTTTTAGGGGTGAGGGTTTGAGTTGAAAAAGAAGTATGGCAACAATGGGGACTGATCATGTAGTTGGAAAATATATTAAATACTTCCAGAGATATATTTCCGTAATAATATGACATGCAAAGGTGACAGGAAAATTAAACTTTTCGTCCACATATTCCAGAGATATATCTTCAGAACATTCACTAAACTGATTAATACTCATATTTTCTCCAAATCGTTCCAGACATATATCTCCAGAATAAAACTTTGGCAAA